TCGTGTAGGAGGATTTAGAGTGTTCTACTGTTACAACAGGCTTCTAAAATTCTCATTCAAAATTGTTCATGAGGGTAATGGTGCATGCACGCTTTATCGATAAGAAAAATTGATAAATTAATAAAATGACAACCATCACCATTTTATTGCACGCTCATTTGAGGAAGGGGTGTCACAGACTGTGAAAATGACATGTTACCGTTGGCTCTGTACATTATTGAAAATTATGAGAACCATGGAGTAGTGTAATTTTTAATGTTCCAGGTTTATACTGCATTTCATTGCTCAGCAATGCATGCAAAATGGGAATATATTCTTGGAGTTTAAGTTTAGTTCTGAACCAGCTGGTGTGTCTATGAGCTCCTTGGTAGTATTTTTTTTTCTTTCTATTTTTTTGGTAATTTTATTCTTAGTAATTTTATTCATTGTACAGTATTTCGATATAATGTACATTTGTTTTTAGTTACATTTTATATGTACTTTGTTTACAGAATAAAAAATAACAGTGTAATTTTTTTATAACTGTTGGAAATGTGGCTAATTGCCAAATACCATATCTAGTGTGGGTGTAGTTACACCCACACTATCCATATTCATACTTTGAAAGCACTTTCTAATAAAGCGCAAGGGATTAAAATACACCACATATCCATGCACATTATTGTACAGTATCTGCAACCAAACAATTGTTTCACTGTTAAATAATTGCTTATTATATTCAAGCGCATCAATAACAAAATTAAAATACGGTATTAAAATACGGTATTAAAATAAGTATTAATAATGGGAAAAAAACCCTATCATATACAGTAAGCCACAACCTCTAGCCTGTGGGCAAAATATAAGGTCTGTGACCTCAGTTTAATTATTATTACTATTTATATTATTATTTAATTTATTTACTCATTTCTTTACTCCATGTTATAAATATTTTATATACTTATATTTGAAGGGGCCAACTGTTGAAAGCTTTGCTTGTCGTGGTTTTCCCTTTTTCAACAATTTGTACCTTTTGTGTTATTTGTAATGAAACAAAAATGGAATAAAATTTATTTTATTTAACACGACTTTCAAACTACAGTAAAACACATGAACACAAATTTCCTCAACTTTAGCTTCCTTTCTTCTCCAGTCTTTTAAAAGGCCACCTTTAAAAGTAAGTGCTTTGGCCCGATCTTCTGCCAGATTTAGCCTCATCATACAATACTTATTTACATCCTAAGTCCTAGGGAAGTACCCTTTGGAGCTAACTCTCCAATTCCGCCAAAAAAAAAAAAAATGTTAAGTGAAGTGAAGAAAAGCCTACTAGTGTAGACTAGTTGAAGGAGCCAAACTTAAAGCTCTTAGTCATAGAAACAAAGTGGCTAAAAGTTGAAAAAAAAGTGCTAAATAAGAAAAAAAAGAGAGAAAAAAAAAAACCGGCCTAAAATAATGTATGTTAATGTTAACTATATAATGCAAGAGCAAAGTGTTAGTCAGTAGCTTGCTGTACTAAATGACAAGCAAAGTTGACAAGCTGAGATTGATGCAGAGAAAAATTATGTTTTTGGAAAATGTTATGTCAACGATTACAGTACAAGAGTGCTGAAACTGATAATAACATTTTGAGTCTTCCTGAGGATGCGAGACCTGGAAAATAACCGCAGATAATGGAAAAACGCATTTAATGCATTTGCGGTTAATTGTATGTAAGTAAAGTTTACTACTCAAGCTACAATTAGCACAATACAGCCAGTCCTTGGATGTTGGACACTATATTAGTAATTAAATGGAGAGGATATTAAGAAATTCTGTGAAGGGTGTAGAGACATACTGTCATCAGGCAGAAAAACAATCTTGCAAAAACCATATTCTACCGTAGCAATGAGGTAGAAACAGACATAAACGAGGTCCCAAAAGTGGACATTCATTGAAGAGAGGCCTGTATGTAAAAAACGAAAACAACATGAATTAACAACATGAAAGACTGTCCATAGACCTTTGATATTTACTGACAGAGAATAAGATTTTAAGTGAAAACAATGCGTTTCAATCGAGAATTACATTTTTCTTACAGCCCTAAGCTTAGGAATAATCATACAATTTTAGAAGATATTATCATCATTATTTTATCTTGATTTACATTCTTTTTATTATATTTTGAAATATACAGTACTTGAATTTTTCGTACAGTTTCAATACAGAGAAAGTTAGCATTTACTATTTTTATTTATTTAATTTTATTTTTATATGTATTATATTACTAGACAATGTAATAAATATATTTGAATCTTTTTACAGCTTTGAGTAGTGATTTATGCATGTGCGGCAATGTCCCAATACAGAGTGTCTTGTGTTGCTTTTAGATTTACATGCTCAAGCCTAGACAAGCCTGCACTTCAGAATCTTCATTTCTCCTGTGTAAATGTATTCTTTTATCCTTGTATAGGGAAGCCACTCCATAGAGTTTAGAACAGCTCTCTATTTCTATGCCATTTTAGCATTGCCACTACATTACAATTTTGTTTTCCATGACAATTCTAATCATTCTTCTCGTTCTAAACAACCTTGGGATATGCCTTCCAGGCTTATAATACTGTATTTTATAACATCCTTTACGGTTGTTTTAAATTGTTGTAACGTAAGATCCCAAATTGTAAACAGGTCTTCTTAAATGAATTATAAACTTGTCATATTATAGATACTGTATTATTGATTCCAATGAAAATGTTAAGTCACATTTTGTGCTTTACTTTTTTATAACTCATCTACGTATTTTTAATATGCAATGCTTCGCAACTGAAAATACCATAAATAATGTGCATTCATAATGCATATATGACTGAAATAAGTTGAATGTAAAAATATGACAGCAAATTCAACATGAAAAAGAATAAAATAAGAATTGGGGAGGATACAAAGAACCATCCACGAAATTCATTCCCCGATTCTACTCTGCTCAAATTTGTGTCAAAAAACTCAAATCTATACACTAGACTACAGTGTGACTAAGCATTTTCATTCAGTGGTGGCTGCAATTAGGTGCAGGGACATTGTGGAACAGGCCAACCACTCTTCAAAGCAAAAAATAATTCTCTTATTCAAAAAAAAGTTCTTTTATTTTAAAAAATTATTTTGACATACGTTCTGAAATGTCTCAGAATGGGTTCAAAAAACAATTCTTTATCCTTTTAATTTTTTCAACGGATGCGAAATATGAACAATCACAAATATAATCAAAGATCTACATTTAGTGAATTTATATACTAAATTTGGAGAACATACGTTCTGAAATGTTTCGGAATGGGTTTAAAAAACACAATATTTATCCTATTTATTTTTTTCAATGGATAAGTAATATGAAAAAACAACTGTAATCAAATATCTAAATTTAGTGAATTTAAATACATCAGTCAGGTTTTTTTCTATTTTTAAATTTAAATTATAGAATGCTATTGAAACATTTCAACATACGTTTTTAAATTGATTCATCATGTGTACTTATACTTATTTTATTTATATAAATATTATTTCCTGGCTGTTATTAATTTTCAACTTTGTAAATATCACACAGGTCAGTTATTAAATAGCTGCCATATTTGATTCACATAAAAGCAAAAATTATAAAATGAATGTGCATCAAACATTTTTTATCCAATGCAGTAGCTGTACAGTATGGGAGGGCAAAGCAGTCTAAAAGGTGATTCCCGGAAGAAGTCAGGGCCATAGGTGTCCAGACCATGTAAAGAAAAATTCTCTGGTTGGTGCATAGAGAAAACCAAGTAACTTTGAGTCACTTTTAAACTGTTCTGAGGTCCTACAATCTATCATGCTGATGGAATTAAATTTTGATACGAGGAGTCATGAACGATGGAAAGGTTAAAGGTCCACCGAACACGACGGCACACAACTCTCTCCAGCGCTCACTCCCACACAGATGCCACTACTAAACGTATACAACATATCTTTAACGAACATTATACCACAATGCGTAATGTCTTGGGAAATCGCTGGGGTGTTGCAAACCTTGGGGAGGTGTTCCTCCATTCTTTCTAGTTTCCAAGATGTTATAGCATTATCTTTAGAATCATTAATGATTTCACACTTCTAAATGTACGCTTCAATTGACAAGGTGTGAACACCTTTGCTAGATGTAAATAAACTTTATTCATTCTACCACCTATGGTACAATACCGAAACCAAGAAGGCAATGCCTGTAAGCAGGTCCAGTACTAACTTTATAAATTAATGCCTTAAATAAACATCAAACGGAAACAAACATGGTCCTTAACTCGCCTAACTCTCCTGAGAGGGTTATTCGAGGAGCTGAGCCTTTTTTTGTTATTATAAAAGACCTGAATTCAATACTCGACACAGAGCTGGGTATCGAACCCGGGCCCTGGAGTGCAAAAGGCAAGAACCATACAAATTATCCAAACGCTCAGCTCAAGTGGGGGATAATTCATGTTACAGCACATTGCTAAACTCTGACGGAGAATTTGTAGGGAGGAAGGCCATCCTATTGTGGAGGTAGGATCAGCTGTAATATCATCTTGCAGCTCCTGCCATTTTGAGTAAATGTCTGGGGCAGGGGTACAGCCAGTGAGTGGGCCAAGGTAAAATCTGTTGAGGGTTAAATAAAACTTGGTGGGCCTGAGGTGGGTGTCAGTGCCTCTATCTCATGTAAGCAAAGCTATAATATTACTGCTAAAAATTGGACATTCATATGTTATAATCATTCTTTGATTATTTTGTGCGTCAATGATGAAGAATATACCACCGAGTCCTTATTATCGGGAGTTTGGCACTTATGCAACTGTATCCTATTAAAATGTGAAAATCCATTTGAATATACTAAAAATAAGAACATTATATTATAATGAAAAATAAAGATCAAAATAAGAAAAAACATTAATATTACTGGATGTTTCAACTTCCAGTTACAAATTAACTAATCAAGAAAAAATTACCTTGAGATATTATTAATAATCAATAAAATGTAAACAGATTTAATAACTCACCTCCTAATGTTACATTCCCATGAATAAATCTACCTTGATAGATAAGCCGCAGTATAGCCGCTGAGCTTACTCTGTCAGCCTCCCATTCTAAAAAAAAAAAAAACCAATAGAAACATCATTAAAACTATTGAGAATGTAAATGCAAAACTATATGCCATATTAATTAATAATCTTGTGTTCAGTGAAGTCTTCTTCCTGCTTTATACAAAGGTCATACATTTGGAAGACATCAATAATAAAAAATACTGACATCATATATTACCACAAGATAAGTAAAAGATTATTTGTATTCTATTTCAGTTTTCATTTTTTATACTACAGTTGCAACAGCTAAATTCAAATGTTTATATACATTGTATTACAAAGGTTTTAAAAAAAAGTTTAAACCTATAGACAACAGAAGATTTACAATTGTATATACAAAGGTTTAAAAACATTAAAAAGTCAAGCAAAAACCTATATAATAGACAATAGAAATTTACAATCAGAATATTTGTATAAAGTAATATTAAGTTTAGATTATCCAGTGATTTTGCATTAACGATACTATCACTTTCAGAGTCAAAGCACATATAAATACTGTACTTCAAAAAATTCAAATTAAACTTTGAATAGCTGGTATTAATTTAAGGATTTTTTAATCTGTTTTTT